TTCGTTTGATAATAGTGAAAAGACTAGAATGCCCTTGAAAGTTTGATATTTTAGTTTTTTATAAATTTAAAAATTTCTAAAAAACCCCATAGGTTTGCTAATTTGACTGCCACCCGTAGTGCCAGATTCCGGCCACCAAAGCCGGAATCTGACCGAAAAATTGCGTTACGACACAGACCCGTCGGATCTGTGTCGTAATGCGTCGATCTGGCCTTTTCCGGCCAGATCCCGACGGTGGTAGCTGGAATTTGGCACTGCGGGTGGCGGGGGTGTTTTGTTATTTTACAAAATTTTTATATATTGGGGTATTTAGTCAAATTAGCAAACCTAGGGGGTTTTTTAGAAATTTTTAAATTTATAAAAAACTAAAATATCAAACTTGCAAGGGCATTTTAGTCTTTTCACTATTATCAAACAAAAATCACTAACAGAACATGACGGAAGGTACCTATTTGTCATTTCAAAACCTTTTGAGTACCAACTTGTCGTTTCACCAAACCTTGGGTATGCGTAAGGTGTTCGGCCTAATCCATTGTGAAATCATGAAGAACCGGGGACAAGAAGTTGTTAAATGAGACATAAACTATGTACAAAGTACAAACTGAATTTCTGTTTGGTACTTCCTAACAATTATGCTCTTTTTCAACCTAGTTTGAAAATTTTTGAAAAAAGAAACTGGAAACGAAACCTCTAAATTAAAGTTCAACAAAATTCTTAAAAAGTTAGTTGCTAAAGAAGTTGTTATATAATTGTTCAATAGTTGCTTGAATTGTAATAAATATTTTGAGTGTCTGTTCCAAAATTCGTTGCTAATTTCTAGTAACATCAATAACATTAAGGTTCAAGAATAGTGGCGGATCCAGAATTTTTGTCGAGGGGGGACTTCCGCGGCTCCGTTATCGTTTGCTAAACAACTAGTAAAAACTTAAAATACTCACCAAACCTTAAATAAAGAAAATAATACAATATTAAGAACTTAAAATAAAAGAATGCAATAACGCAATACTTTCTTACATTAATAAATCCACGAGAAGCAAAATTTTGAGTAAATATGTTAAATAAACCTTGACTAAAACAATCTTTTAATTTTTGGCTTCCAAAAATTATAATATAAATTTTCATGACTTTGACCAAGCCTGACCTAAGCTAAAGTAAACTAAAACTTAAATTAAGTCAACATTGCGTTGACTTTTAATATGAATTAATAAAAAAAAAAAAAGGGATTTTTCTTTATATAAATATAGAAAGTACACATTTTTTTAATTATTTTGAGTAGCAGAATAGTAACGTTTGAAATGTAGGAAAGTGGTGGGTGAAGAATAACGTACTTTAAAATATAGTTAATGTTTTAATTTGGGAAAGCAAGTTCATTCTTATACACAAAACACAAAATAAACTCACAAGATCCATGTCTTTTCCCTTCAAATTAGAATAAAAAACCTCAAAAAAAAAAAAATGATTCAACCCTAAAATAAACTAAATTATTGAAATGAGCAATACATACCTAAAATGATAAAACCAACAAAACAGAGCTAATTGACACCTTGAGTAGTGAAAGCTTCAACAATTTCAGTCTTCAAAAGGTTTAAGGTCGAAAACATGAGAAAGAGAATGAGAAAGTAAAGAATTTTGAGGATAAAATCATAAAAAACTGGTGCGCCGTGGAGAGAAGAGTGGAGAGAGTTTTAAACTTTTCATATGATGTGGGCTTTGAAAATATTAATAGCAATTTTTGTGGGTTTATATATTATAATTTAAAAAAAAAAAAAAAAACTTAAGGGTAGGTCCTCAAAGGTGCTGGATCCACCCCTGTTCACGAAGCTATTAATCTTTTATAGTGTTAAGAGTTTAAAAACTAAAGAAGAACAAAAATATCAGTCTTATAGTTTTAAAACTAAAATAAGAATATTTAAAGTAAAGAAAGAACAATTTTTTTTCTTTCAAAACAGTAAAAAAAAAAAAAAAAGTAGTTAAAAGCTAGCTATAGTAAATTCAGGAATAAACATGATTATACGCCCAACTGTATAATTCGCGTATATTCGCGAGTTTTCGTATTTTCAGCACATCCGCATTATTTGCGAAATATATGCTTTAAACATTTATTCAAGAATTATTCGTATTATTGTTGTATTTTATCAGCACATATGTATTATTTGCAAATTGAATATTTGTGTATTGTAAACTATATTGATGTGGTGGACCATAAAAAGTGCTAAAACCAGGATTAATACTACGTATTTTTCAAAATGTATTATTGACAATGTGTCATATTAAACCTATATATATTCATACCGTATTTTTTCCGTATATGAATTTTAGGCTAAATTTTTACAAACGTATTTTTCACCTTTTACTTTATCATACCCATACCTTTTTTTACCGTACTAATATCTACTCCTAGTGGTAAAAGTATTTGATTTCTACACAGAAGAAATAAAACTTATAGAAAATAGGAGACTAAATGGGTTAGTTTGATTAAGACTATAAAAACTGGCTCTTTCTCATATGTTCCATTTGAGGTAACTTCCTTGTTTTTATAGTAATTCACAATCTTATTTTATTTATTTTAAATTACAAGCAGTTTATTTATGAGCAAGAAAGATCAATACTAAACAAGATCACAATTATAGGTTTAAAACATACTTCTTATTTTATTTATTTATTACAATTTTATCATAAGGCTATATAAAATAAGTGCGGTTGAAAAATCACTTCCCTTAGAATGATCATAATCTATTAAAATTCCAATAAACTAGATATGTTTGGCATATGAAGTGACAGAGTTAATATAATCAAACTTTCCTAAAAAAAAAAAAAAAAAAAAAAAAAAAAACTACTTCCTGTTGATAAATTTAAACTACATATTGAGTAATAGACAACAAAATCGAATTTCTATCTATTAATATCGATTAAAATAAATACAAAATTGAATTTCTATCTATTAACAATTATAAAAAAAAAATGGTATATGATCAGTAACATGCAAGATATTCTGCAAAAACCTAATAAATTATCAATTTGAATTAAATAGGTTACTGAAAAAATCAAGTAGTCAGTGAAAATACCAAAGCCCCCGAACAGTCATCGCCAGTTAGTGCATCAGTCCAATTGCATCCAAAACATTGATTGCGTTAGACCTGGCAAAACGAGCCGGCGGGTGGATAGGGTCTGTATAAATATAAATTGGACCCGTGCCCTACCCTATACGGGTACGGGTGGACCTGCGGGTGCCCTTTTTTCTCTCTCCAGGTTTCAGTTTTTATAGTTTCACCCCTAACATTTTCACATATAATAGTTACACCCCAAAATTCCTATAGTTATGAAAATTGTACAGGACATTGGAATAATTACAGAATTCTAAATTTGAACCATGGCTCCAATTTTGTAGCATATGCATAACACATTTATAGAATTCTATTTTGTGAAAATAGGCAAACAGCTTCATTTCAAACCACATTTACAGGGACAGTCGGACAGCTATACTCTAAAAACAGTGCTTGCAAATCTGCAATTCACTAACTCTAAGCACAAAAATCCTCATCATTTACTGTTCATACTTCATACAGACAGAGATTTCACGAATCAGCTAAACTATAACAACTTGTAAACCTAACTCAGGAAGTTAAAACAGATCTTGAAACCCAACATCAAACAAGCTGCAGCTTTTCTGGAGATACAATAACAACAGATCTTGAAACCCAACTCACGGATCTTGAAACCCAAACATCAAACAAGTTGCATCTTTTCTGGAAGATACAATAAAAAGATCTTGAACCCAACTCACGGATCTGCTGCAATGGTGGGGGAGAAGAGTCGCGAGTCTTGCGACGAGAGAGAGGAGAGAGAGAGGAGATGACGAGTTATGACGCCCAAGTCCCGACGACGTGAGAGGGAGAGAGAGGAGAGACCAGAGTGAGAGGGCTACACAGCGATGGTGGTAGGAATGGGAATCATAGACTGGATGAGAGATTAAGAGTTTACAGAATGAATAAATAAGGTTTAGGTGAGGACCGTGAGGTATACTGATGATGAATGAGTGATGAGTGATGCAGTGATGAGAGATCGAGAGGCGGGACTGCGGGAGAGAATTGTTATGTTGAAGATGAAGATTTGTTTTAAAGTCTGAGTTAGGGACTTAGCCACTTTAGGGATTTGCAAAACCGGGTACCCGCGGGTGCCCGCAGGTTTACCCATATAACCCCTCAACTATACGGGTTGGGCCAGGTACGGGTAAAAACAAAACAGGTCTGATAAATTTGACCCATACCCTATATTTTCTACCCGGGTACAGACCGATCTGCAGGTCTGGACCCGTTTTGCCAAGTCTAATTGCAGTTATTGAAACACTCGGAACCTTCGGAACAGCACCTCAAACATCCAATACCGGCACCGCAAGTCAAAACTCCAACGCTGCAATTGAATTGTGTGTACATAAATATTTACAAAAATTAATTTTAATGATAAAAAATTAAGAAAAAAAATATCCCATGATATAAGCTTCAATTGTGTGAAATTACTTAAACCTAATGGTTGACAACTTTTTTTCCCCTTATTCTCTATCTTTTTCCATGTTAATTTGTCCCACAAGTTGTCTTTTATCTCCAGAAAAGTGATTTAACATTTGGTTAATTTTGTATCTTTAGTTTATTGAGTCATGATCTTACTGTAGTTTTGCAAGCTAGATTTAGTTTAAAATGTCATGATAATGATCATCTTTCAGTTTTGGAACAAATGTTTGGTGAGTTCATCAAAGAAGTAGAAAACAAAATAATATAAATCTAGTGCATGACATTCTTTTTAAAAAAAAAAAAAAAAAAAAAAAAAAGAACTAGTGCATACCAATTTTTCCAACAGCCTTTAGCAGGAGGTGGTGACGGTGGTGGCAGAGCTGGTGGTGGCGACAGTGGTAGAGGTGGTGGTGGCAGTGGTGATGGTGGTGGTGGAGGTGGTGGTGGTGGCAGTGGTGGTGGTGGTGGCGGCAGCGATGGTGGTGGTGGCAGTGGTGATGGTGGTGGAGGTCGTGGCGGTGGCGATGACGATCGTCGTTGTGGCAATGGTGGTGGTGGCAGCGGCGGCAATGGCGATGGCGATGGTGGTGGTGGTGATGGTGGTGGTAGTGGTGGAGGTCGTGGTGGCAGTGATGATGGTGGTGGAGGTAGTGGCGATGATGGTGGTCGTTGTGGCGGCGGCAGTGGATGTGGTGGTGGTGGACTTTGTGGCAATGGTGGTGGTGGTGGTGGCGGCAATGGCGGTGACAATAGTGGTGGTGGTGGTGATGGTGGTGGTAGTGGTGGAAGTCATGGTGGTGGTGGCAGTGGCGATGGTTGTGGTGGAGATGGTGGTAGTGGTGGAGGTTGTGGTGGCGACGGTGGTGGCAGATGTCGTGGTGGTGATGGCGAAGGTGGTGGTGGCAGCGATGGTAATGGTGGTGGCAGTGGCAATGGCACTGGTGGTCGAGGAGGCCGTGGTGGTGGTGGCTGTGGCAATGGTAGTGGTGGTAGTAGTCGCGATGAGGGTGGTCGTGGAGGCCATGGTGGCAGTGGTGGCGATGACGGCAGTGGTGGTGTTGGTGGTGCAAGAATTTGATGAACTGGGACGTCAAATTGCAAAGTACGCAGAACACCCGCGGGAGATGGAGGGCTTGATTCCTGGCTAGATGGCTGCTAAGGAATCTTAACATGATCTAAGGGTATTTTGTGAACTTTTAAACTTTTTTGTGGCTGGAGTGTTTTAGCAAATTTCTCAAATGTAAGGGGCTGGATAATTGTTATTTGGTAGACATTTGAAGGCAATTGTGTTTGAAATGATTTTTAGTTAAGGGCAAAATAGTTATAAAAATCAGATTACCCTATAATGTTTTAATCTGAGGGGTGGTGGAGGGTATTAGATTACCCCCCACATTACTAACAATAAACACTATTTGTAATAAAAGATTCCTGTAATATTTTATTATTTGCAAACCAAACACTGAAATCTTACAAAATAAACGAAGATTATCCCCGTTATCTTATATGCTCCCGATCCAAACGCACCCTTAGCTATATCTATTAAGTATTTGAAGAAGGTTCATATTGAATATTGTCTAAATAACGTATGAAAGTTCATTCCTATCATGCAATTTGAATCACCCTAAACAGATTAATTTAGGAAAATTCTCTCCAATTGCAGATTAAAAGCTATTGTGTTAAGTCAAATTATAAGCTTACACTTCGATTCAAACTAATTTGTCAATAAAGCTACCAATCCTATGATTTGGATATTCTGGAGAAAATCCTTTTTTGGCAGAACAACTTACACTACCAAGGTTTGCCGAATAACAAGTTATACCTAAAAGGTTTTGAAACGACAAATAGGTATATTCCGTCATATCTGTTAGTGATTTTCGTTTGATAATAGTAAAGACTAGAATGCCCTTGAAAGTTTGATATTTTAGTTTTTTATAATTTAAAAATTTCTAAAAAACCCCATAGGTTTGCTAATTTGACTGCCACCCGTAGTGCCAGATTCCGGCCACCAAAGCCGGAATCTGACCGAAAAATTGCGTTACGACACAGACCCGTCGGATCTGTGTCGTAATGCTCGATCGGCCTTTTCCCGGCCAGATCCCGACGTGGTAGCTGGAATTTGGCACTGGCGGTGCGGGGGTGTTTTGTTATTTTACAAAATTTTTATATATTGGGGTTTTAGTCAATTAGCAAACCTAGGGGGTTTTTTAGAAATTTTTAAATTTATAAAAAACTAAATATCAAACTTGCAAGGGCATTTTAGTCTTTTCACTATTACAAACAAAATCACTACGAACATGACGGAAGGTACCTATTTGTCATTTCAAAACCTTTTGAGTACCAACTTGTCGTTTCACCAAACCTTGGGTATGCGTAAGGTGTTCGCCTAATCCATTGTGAAATCATGAAGAACCGGGACAAGAATTGTTAAATGAACATAAACTATGTACAAAGTACAAACTGAATTTCTGTTTGGTACTTCCTAACAATTATGCCTTTTTCAACCTAGTTTAAAATTTTGAAAAAAGAAACTGGAAACGAAACCTCTAAATTAAAGTTCAACAAAATTCTTAAAAAGTTAGTTGCTAAGAAGTTGTTATATAATTGTTCAATAGTTGCTTGAATTGTAATAAATTTTGAGTGTCTGTTCCAAAATTCGTTGCTAATTTCTAGTAACATCAATACTTAAGGTTCAAGTTAGTGGCGATCCAGAATTTTTGTCGAGGGGGACTCTCCGCGGCTCCGTTATCGTTTGCTAAACACTAGTAAAAACTTAAATATCACCAAACCTTAATAAAGAAATAATACAATATAAGAACTTAAATAAAAGAATGAAATAACGCAATACTTTCTTACATTATAAATCCACGAGAAACAAATTTTGAGTAATGGTTAAATAAACCTTGACTAAAACATCTTTTAATTTTGGCTTCCAAAATTATAATATAAATTTTCATGACTTTGACCAAGCCTAGCTACCTAAGCTAAATAAACTAAAACTTAATTAAGTCAACATTGCGTTGACTTTAATATAATTAATAAAAAAAAAAAAGGATTTTCTTTATATAAATATAGAAAGTACACATTTTTTAATTATTTTGAGTAGCAGAATATAACGTTTGAAAGTAGAAAGTGGTGGGTGAGAATAACGTACTTTAAATATAGTTAATGTTTTAATTTGGGAAAGCAAGTTCATTCTTATACACAAAACCAAAATAAACTCACAAATCCATGTTTTTTCCCTTCAAATTAGAATAAAAACCTCAAAAAAAAAAAAAAAAAAAAGAAAAAAGAAAAAAAGAAGAGCATGATTGAACCCTAAAATAAACTAAATTGAAATGAGCAATACACATACCTAAAACTGATAAACACAAAAACAGAGCTAATTGTACACCTTGAGTAGTGAAAGCTTCAACAATTTCAGTCTTCAAAAGTTTAAGTCGAATACATGAGAAGAGAATGAGAAAGTAAAGAATTTTGAGGATAAAATCATAAAAAACTGGTGAGCCTTGGAGAAGAAGAGTGGAGAGAGTTTTAAACTTTTCATATGATGTGGGCTTGAAATATATTAATAGCAATTTTTGTGGGTTTATATATTAATAATTTAAAAAAAAAAAAAAAAACTTAAGGGTGTCCTCAAAGGTGCTGGATCCACCCCTGTTCACGAAGCTTAATCTTTTATAGTGTTAAGAGTTAAAACTAAAGAAGAACAAAAATTCAGTCTTTTATAGTTTTAAAACTAAAAAGAATATTTAAAGTAAAGAAAGAACAATTTTTTTCTTTCAAAAACCGTAAAAAAAAAAAAAAAAGTAGTTAAAAGCGTAGCTAGTAATTCAGGAATAAACAGAATTATACGCCCAACTGTATAATTCCGTATATTCGCGAGTTTTCGTATTTTATCAGCACATCCGCATTTTGCGAAATATATGCTTTAAACATTTTATTCAAGAATTATTCGTATTATTGTTGTATTTTATCAGCACATATGTTTATTTGCAAATTGAATATTTGGTATTTGTACACATATTGATGGTGGACCATAAAAGTGCTAAAACCAGGATTATACTATCGTATTTTTCAAATGTATTATTGACAATGTGTCATATTAAACCTATATATATTCATACCGATTTTTTTCCGTATATGAATTTTATGCAAATTTTTACAAACGTATTTTTCACCATTTACTTATCATACCATACCTTTTTTTACCGTACTAATATCTACTACCTAGGGTTAAAATATTTGATTTCTACACAGAAGAAATAAAACTATAGAAAATAGAGACTAATGGGTTAGTTTGATTAATACTAAAACTGGCTCTTTCTCATATGTTCCATTTGATGGTAACTTCCTTGTTTTATTAGTAATTCACAATCTTATTTATTTATTTTAAATTACAAGCAGTTTTATTTATGACAGAAAGATCAATACTAAACAAGATCACAATTATAGGTTTAAAACATACTTCTATTTTATTTATTTTATTACAATTTTATCATAAGGCTATTATTAAAATAAGTGCGGTTGAAAAATCACTTCCCTTAGAATGATCATAACTCTATTAAAATTCCAATAACTAGATATGTTTGGCATAATGAAGTGACATGAGTTAATATAATCAAACTTTCCTAAAAAAAAAAAAAAAAAAAAAAAAAAAACTATTCCTGTTGAATAATTTATAATTCTAATTGATAATAGACAACAAAATCGAATTTCTATCTATTAATAATCGATTAAATACAAAATTGAATTTTCTATCTTAACATTTATTATAAAAAAAATGGTTATATGATCTAAACATGCAAGTATTCTGCAAAACCTAATAAATTATCAATTTGAATTAAATAGGTTACTGAAAAAATCAAGTAGTCAGTGAAAATACTCAAAGCCCCCGAACAGTCATCGCAGTTGTGCATCAGTCCAAATTGCATCCAAAACATTGATTGCAGTTAGACCTGGCAAAACGAGCGGCTGGGCTGGTACGGGTCGGTCATTACGGGTACGGGTCTATATGGGTGGATGATAAAATATTGGACCCGTGCCCTACCCTATACGGTACGGGGTGGACCTGCGGGTGCCCTTTTTTCTCTCTCCAGGTTTCAGTTTTTATAGTTTCACCCCTAACAGTTTTCAATATAATAGTTCACACCCCCAAAATTCCTATATTTTAAAATTGTACAGGACATGGAATAAACAGAATTCTAAATTTGAACCATGGCTCCAATTTTGTAGCATATGCATACACATTTAGAATTCTTTTTGTGAAATAGGCAAACAGCTTCATTTCAAACCCACATTTACAGGGACGTCGGACAGCTATTACTCTAAAAACAGTGCTTGCAAATCTGCAATTCACTAACTCTAAGCACAAAAATCCTCATCATTTACTGTTCATACTTCATACAGACAGAGATTTCACGAATCAGCTAAACTATACAAATCTTGAAACCTAACTCACGAATTTAAACAGATCTTGAAACCCAAACATCAAACAAGCTGCAGCTTTTCTGGAAGATACAATAAAAGCAGATCTTGAAACCCAACTCACGGATCTTGAAACCCAAACATCAAACAATTTGCATCTTTTCTGGAAGATACAATAAAACGATCTTGAAACCCAACTCACGGATCTGCTGCAATGGTGGAGAAGAGTCGCGAGTCTTGCGACGAGAGAGAGGAGGAGGACGATTTGACGCCCAATCCCGACGACGTGAGAGGAGGAGATGACCAGAGTGAGGGCTACCACGATGTTGGTACTATAAGAATTCAACACTTTAGAAATTTAATCTTATATCTTAGTGCAAGGATCTTACCTAAGGATGCTTGTGATTGAAATTCCACTACAAATAAACCAAGATCTATGAATTTCCTTGAAAAATGATTGAAGAAATTTGAGAGAACTTGGGTGGAAGGTGGCGTGAATGGAAGGGGAAGAATGGCTAGGGTTTTATTTTTTAACTGTTAATATAACAAAATATTACTTATAGTTTCTCATTTTACCCTTGTACTTTCTATGAAACTCCATATATGTCCCTTAGTCAATTACCATAATGCCCTTATTTTTATTAACTTCTCCATGTTATTCTACTTCTTTTCATTCCCCACTTTTTCAACTAATTATGAGTGAAAAGACCATTTGCCCCTAATGAAATTTTAGGGAATTTTTTCACACTTGTTCAAGATAACTTTAACAAAATTCAACTAAGGGTATTAAGGCATAAGTAAAGCTACGTATCTCGATATGGGCATTACAAATAATATGTTTGGTTGGGAGGATAAATGGGAGGGTATGTTATATAGATTACTAAATTGCCCTTCTTTTTAAATATTAACATAATATTATTTTTTGAATAATTTCTTTTAATCCCTTCCATTTGAAATTTTGCTGAAACACCCCAGCTATATAAAACTTTAATTTGTAACAAAATCATCCCCACCCACCCAAAGCAATTGCCGGTAGCCAGCCAGCCAGCCACCACCATAGGCCGCCGTCGACAGTCGAAGGAATGATGCATGACTGGCTGTATATGGCTGACCGTGAGCCAGAAAAGCCATTTCCAGCCATGTATATCAAATCCATGGCCGTTTCACAGCCAGATCTATGGCCATTTCATGGCCAGATCTATGGTCATTTCACGGCCAAAGATGTGGCCGTGAAACGGTCACAGATCTGGTCATGAAAAGGTCAGATCTTTGGCCAGAAAAGCCCTTACCGACGCACGATTGACTAGATCCTGCTGGTCATGCACCATTGTGACAACTAACGTTGACGACTAACGGTGGTGAGTAACGACCGGCGATGGTTTTGGGTGACTAAGGGTATTTTGTTAACTTTTAAACTTTTTTTGTGGTTGGGGTGTTTTAGCTAATTTCTCAAATGTAGGGGGGCTGGGTAATTGTTATTTGGTAGACATTTGAAGGCATTTGTGTCTAAAATGATTTTTAGTTAAGGGCAAAATAAGTATAAAAATCAGATTACCCGATAATATTTTAATCCCAAGGGTGGGGGAGGGTATCAGATTACCCCCTACATTACTAACAATAAACACTATTTGTAATAAAAGATTCCTATAATATTTTATTACTTGCAAACCAAACACCAAAATCTTAAAAAATAAACGAAGATTATCCATGTTATCTTATATGCTCCCTATCCAAATGCACTCTCAGATTTAAATACTGATCCAAACGCACCCTCAGCTATATCTATCAAGTATTTGAAGAAGGTTCATATTGAATATTGTCTAAAGAACGTATGAAAGTTCATTCCTACCATGCAATTTGAATCACCCTAAAAAGATTAATTTAGGAAAATTCTCTTCAATTGCAGATTAAAAGCTATTGTGTTTAGTCAAATTATAAGCTTACACTTCGATTCAAACTAATTTGTCAATAAAGCTACCAATCCTATGATTTGGATATTCTGGAGAAAATCCTTTTTTATTTAAATTATATTGAAAATTAAACCAATTGTATTAATTTTATTGAGAGTTTAAAATTATAATTATGTAATTTTTTTAGTACGATGAAGTACAGATTAAACCCAATAAACTGATGACTCTGGTTTGAGAATATTTGACACGACATGAATGTGGTACGACACGAAACGGTTTCAACTTTCAACATAACCCATTGCGAAATCATGAAGAACCGGGGGACGAAAAGGTGTTAAATGAGACATAAACTATGTACAAAGTACAAACTGAATTTCTGTTTGGTACTTCCTAACAATTATGTTCCTTTTCAACCTAGTTTGAAAAAAATTGAAAAAAGAAATTGGAAACGGAAACCTCTAAATTAAAGTTCGACAGAATTCTTAAAAAGTTAGTTGCTAAAGAAGTTGTTGTATGATTGTTAAATAGTTGCTTGAATTGTAATAAATATTTTGAGTGTCTGATCCAAAATTCGTTGCTAATTCCCAGTAACATCAATAATATTAAGGTTCATGAACGAATAGCGGTAGATCCAGGATTTTTGTTGAGGCCTCCGTGGCTCCGTTATCGTTTGCTAAACAATTAGTAAAAACTTTAAAAAGTCACCAAACCTTAAGTAAAAAAAATAATACAATATTAAGAACCTAAGAGAAAAGAATGCAATAACGCAATACTTTCCTACTTTAATAAATCCATGAGAAACAAAATTTTGAGTAAATGTGTTAAATAAACCTTGAGTAAAACCTTCTTTTAATTTTTGGCTTCCAAAGATTATAATATAAATTTTCATTACTTTAACCAAATCTGATCTAAGTTAAAGTCAACTAAAACTTAAATCAAGTCAACATTGCGTTGACTTTTAATATGAATTAATAAAAAAAAAAAAATTTTTTTTTGATATAAATATAGAAAGTAACTCAAATTTTTTTAATTATTTTTAGTAACAGAACGTTGACGTTTGAAATATAGGAAAGTGGTGGGTGAAGAATAACGTTCTTTAAAATATAGTCAATGTTTTTATTTGGGAAAACAAGTTCATTCTTAGACACAAAACATAAAATAAACTCACAAATCCATGTTTTTTCCCCTCAAATTAGAATAAAAAACCTTCAAAAAAAAAAAAAAAAAAAAAGAGCATGATTTAACCCTAAAATAAACTAAATTAAAATGAGCAATATACAAACCTAAAACTGATAAAACAGAAAATAGAGCTAATTGTGACATATTAAGTAGTGAAAGCTTCAGCAAATTCAGTTTTCAAAAATTTCAACATCGAATAGCATGAGGAAGAGAATGAGAGAGTAAAGAATTTTAGGAATAAAATAATAAAAAATAGGTGGAGTCGAGAAGAAGAGTGGAAAGAGTTTTAAACTTTTTATATGATGTGGGCTTGAAATATATATATTAATAACAAGTTTTTTTGTGGGCCTAAATATATGTATAATAATTCATATTTTTAAAAAATCCGAGAGTGGGCCTGGTATATATATTAACAACAATTTTTGTAGTTCTATATATTAATAATAACAAAAAATAAAAAATTGAGGATAGACCCACTCAAAGGTGCTGGACCCGCCCCTGTTCAAGAAGCTAGTAATCTTTTATAGTGTTAAGAGTTTAAAAACTAAAAGAGGAACAAAAATATCAGTCTTTTATAGTTTTAAAACTAAAACAAGAATATTGAAAGTAAAGAAAGGACAATTTTTTTCTTTCTTTCGAAAAGCAGTTAAAAAAAGAAAAAGTAGTTAGTAAATTCGGGAATAAAACGTGAATTATACGCCTAACCATATAATTCGCGTATCATTCGTGAGTTTTCGTATTTTATCAACACATCCGCATTATTTGTGAAATATATGCTTTAGATGTTTTATTCGTGAATTATTCATATTATTGTTGTATTTTATCAGCACATATGTATTATTTGCGAATTAAATACTTTGTATTTGTAATACTATATTGATTTTAACTAGGTAGTCCATGAAAAGTGCTAAAACCAGGATTAATACTGTCATATTTTTCAAAATGTATTATTGACAATGTGTTATATTAAACCCATATATATTCATATCGTATTTTTCCCGTATTTGAATTTTATGACTAAATTTTTACAAACGTATTTTTCACCATTTGCTATATCATACCTGTACTTTTTTTTATCGTACTCGTATTTACTAACTAGGGTTAAAAGTATTTGATTTCTAAATAGAAGAATAAAAAACTTATAGAAAATACAAGACTAAATGGGTTAGTTTGATTAAGACTATAAAACTGGCTCTTTCTCATCTGTTCCATTTGATGGTAACTTCCTTGTTTTTATTAGTAAAATAAGTTTATTATATTATTTTATTACAATTTTATCATAAGGCTATTAATAAAATAAGTGCGGTTGAAAAATCACTTCCCTTAGAATGATCATAATCTATTAAAATTCCAATAAACTAGATATGTTTGGCATGATGAAGTAACATGAGTTAATATAATCAAACTTTGCTACCAAAAAAAAAAGGGCTTCCTGTTGATAAATTTATAATTCTACATACTGATAATAGACAACAAAATCGAATTTCTATCTATTAATAATTGATTAAAATAAATACAAAATTGAATTTCTATCTATTAACAATTTATTACAAAAAAAAATGGTTATATGATCAGTAACATGCGAGATATTCTGCAAAAACGTAATAAATTATCAATTTAAATTAAACAGGTTACTGAAAAAATCAAGTAAGTCAGTGAAAATACCCAAAGCCCCCGAACAGTCACCGCAGTTAGTGCAACAGTCCAAATTGCATCCAAAACATTGATTGCAGTTATTGAAACACTCGGAACCTTCGGAACAGCACCTCAAACATCCAATACCGGCACCGCAAGTCAAAACTCCAACGCTGCAATTGAATTGTGTGTACATACATATTTACAAAAATTAATTTTAATGATAAAAAATTAAGAAAAAAAATATGCCCTGATATAAGCTTCAATTGTGTGAAATTACTTAAACCTAATGGTGGACAACTTTTTTCCCCCTTATTCTCTATCTTTTTCCATGTTAATTTGTCCCACAAGTTGTCTTTTATCTCCAGAAAAGTGATTTAACATTTGGTTAATTTTGTAACTTTAGTTTATTGAGTCATGATCTTACTTTAGTTTTGCAAGCTAGATTTCGTTTAGAATGTCATGATCATGATCATCTTTCAGTTTTGGAACAAATGTTTGGTGAGTTCATCAAAGAAGTAGAAAACAAAATAATATAAATCTAGTGCATGACATTCTTAAAAAAAAAAAAAAATCTATTGCATACCAATTTTTCCAACAACCTTTAGCAGGAGGTGGTGGCGGCGGTGATAGAGGCAGTGACGGTGGTGGCGGAGGTGGTGGTGGCGGCAGTGGTAGAGGTGGTGGAGGCGGTGGTGGTGGTGGCGGCGATGGTCGTGGTGTGGATGGTGGTGGCGGTAGTGGAGGTCGTGGTGGCGGTGGTGATGGTGGTGGAGGTCGTGGCAGTGGCGATGATGGTGGTCGTTGTAGCGGCGACGGTGGACGTCGTGGCAATGGTGGTGGTGGTGGTGGTGACGATGGTGGTGGCGATGGTGGTGGTGGTGATGGTGGTGGTAGTTGTGGAGGTCGTGGTGGTGGCGACGATGGTGGTGGAGGTCGTGGTGGCGGCAATGACGGTGGTCGTTGTGGCGGCAATGGTGGACGTCGTGGCAATGGTGGTGGTGGTGGCGGCGATGGCGGTAGCAATGGTGGTGGTAGTGGTGGAGGTCGTGGTGGCAGTGGCGATGGCGGTGGTGGAGATGGAGGTTGTGGCAGCGACGGTGGTGGTGGATGTTGTGGTGGTGATGGCGAAGGTGGTGGTGGTGGCGGCGATGGTAATGGTGGTGGTGGTGGCCGTGGCAGTGGTGGTCGTGGCAATGGTGGTGATGGTAGTAGTCGCGATGAGGGTGGTCGTCGAGGCCATGGTGGCGGAGGCGGCGATGACGGCAGTGGTGGTGTTGGTGGTGCAGGAATTTGATGAACTGGGACATCAAAATGCAAAGTACGCGGACCACCCGCGGGAGATGGAGGGCTTAATTCCTGGCCAGATGGCTGCTGCGGAATCATAACATGATCTATTCCTGAAGTAACGGAGCAAATTGACTTGAATGTCCATTTGAATAACAAGTTGATAGAAAACAAAACAAAACCAAATCAAACCTGAAGCAGCTTTCCTCAAAACATTCTTGGTAACAACCATATTTTCCATACGAGAAATAAATAATAAATTGTTGATTGAAAACAAGACAAACCCAGACCAAACCAAAGCTGAAGTAGCACTCCAACAACCATTCTTAGTAATAGTAACAACCATTTTTCCATATGAGAAACCGAGATTTGTTTTGAGAAATGGCAGGAGAGGGAGATGATTGTATTCCCGTACAGGTTTATTTATACAGATAAGAATAATCTTTTCTTTTCTTTCCACAAAGAAAAGGTATCAATATTCTTCATAAAATGCATGCAATAAATGACGTATTATGTTTACTTTCGTCTATTGTTCAAAAAATAAAAAGAAATAATTCTAATAACTTGAGTTCAATCTAATAGATACAGGGGTATCCAGACCAACCTGTTTAATTAGTAGCCAAACCGAATCAAACCAATTCAAATCATGTTAAAAAAATTGTAGATTCAAATTCTCGTATCATGGAATAATAATAGATGAAAAACTTGAAAAGTAATTCTCTAATTACAATATCTTTATCAAATCCTTGATAATATTTGTTCTATGTTAATGGTTTGGATCCGTGCATAATTTAAATTAATAAAATCAAAAGAACACTTAGAATACTTAAAAGCCAAGTCAAGTGCGTTACTATTCTCTACTTGAACTGTGGGAATGGAACCTCAAAAAGCAAATTAAGCAAGGAATATTGGACTTGGCTTAATAACTTTTAAGTTTTATTAACACTTGCAAATAAGTTGCCAATTAAACTCAGATTATCCAATGCAACACAAAATGGTATGAGAAATTTTGAAGTATAAACAATCCCTTAACGATTAATGATCACAATCTTAATCTCTATCAAAATTAGAACCAAAGAAGATACCTCGCAATCCAACAGCAGCATCAAGCTCATCAAGTTATCCAACATCATCATCAGGCTTACCAAGTTCTCTGAAAACACCAAGTGTTTAGTTATTGAAGATCTCTTAAGCACCTTATAATAACTACAAAAATGCTTACATGAACTGAATATTAACCTGTTATTCATATAAATTATATAAGTTTCCATTGAACCAAAGGCCTGACGTTATAAAGAACAGAAGAGTAACCAAAAACAAAGCTTCATTGAGCTAGGCAGAATTGGAGAGGATAAGAATTTATAAGAGAAATGTTAATGTTTACCTGAAGAAAGCAACTTCTGGAGTATTGATGCGTAAGTTAGTAAATATTCTAAACTTTAACTCTTTGTAAAGTTTACAAGAAAATGGGATTTTAGTTTATTTTATTTTTATACATATAACACCTAACATTTCTCTTTTCTCTTGTTGTATGCCATATTTTAAATAAAGTTAATTGCAATTTTCATTGTGATGTATCGTTGAATAATAATTTTTTCTTTTTATTGTGGCTAATGTTATGAAACTCGGACTGGGCCTTGACCCAGTTAAGGGCCTAGTTTCTGGGTCGAGCGGTTGGACCAATCCGATCAATGGGTCAGACTGATGATGTCATCATCACTTTATTTTAAATATATACTTGAACCACAATCTTGACAGTTAAAGTAGAGAGATTTTCTAAATATTTTTCAAAATACAACCATACAATTTTGTAAAATCTAAACAATATTCTCATTTATTACGCTCCAATTCCAATTCCAATAACATAATGGGGGCGTTTGATTCAGGGAATGTTAGATTATTGGGAATGTTGTATTATTGGAATCTTATATTACCTTGAAGATTACTGAAATCTTTAGGAAAATGTGTTTGATTAGTTGGTAGGTATGTTATATTAATATGTTTGGTTAGGAGGAATAAATTGGTGAGTATGTTATTTAAATTACTAAATTGCCCTCTTTTAAAATATTAATATAATATAATTTTTGTTATTAATTTTTGAATTATTTTTTTAACCCCCAATATTTCAGATTTAACTAAAACACCCTCCCTTATATAAAACTTTAATTTATGACAAAATCACCCCCACCCCCTGCCACCACCGTCGGAAGTCTCCGAAAGTCACCGCGAGTAGCTCACCGTGACCACAAGGCTCCGATATGGCCGTTTCTGGCCATATCAGGCCAGATATGGCCGTTAACGGCCATGGACCTGGCTGTTAACGGCCATATCTCGCCCATATCTGGCTGTTAATGGCCAGATCCATCGATCTGGCCTAATATGGCCGTTTTCAGCCATAAATATGGTCGGAAACAACCATAGTGAAGCCTCCCGAAGCCTCCCAGTAAATCTCGATCATTTTTAAGGACTTCGACAACTTTTCGACAATGGTTTGTGGTGGTTGGCCCGCTGTCGGTGGAGGTATTTGGGTGGCCATATTGGTCTGTAATTTGTTTTAAATATAAGGGCATTATTGTCCAAAAAACTTGATTAAACAAGGGTAAAATTGAAATGCTATATCAATGTAAATTTATTTTAAAACAGGGGCATTATTTTCCAAAATTTTTATTAATAAGGGATAGAATTGTAACAAAAATAAGATTACTAAGATAATCTTACAATACCTAAGAAAATGAAGGTAATCAGATTATCTCTAATATTACCGACAGTAGCAACTATTGGTAATGCAAGATTACCGAAATCTTATATTACTTGACAACCAAACATGGTAATCAAGTAATGTAAGATAACATAACCCTAGTAATCTTTCATAACCTCCAACCAAACGCCCCCTATATAATATATTTATTTATTTATACTCAGAGACCAAGATTTAATCATTTAATGTGTCAATTTCTTTAATTTATTAAATTAAAATTTCCTTCTTCATCTTTTTGAAAACTCATCTCCTCTTAGCCCTCGCTCAATTTCTTCAAGTTGTCGCAGTGAATCCAATCAGGTGGAAGTAAGAAAAAAGAAAAAAAAGATATCTTACTCTCATTTCAAATGGTATTCAGTTTCAATGGCCGCCATTCTCTCTCACAATCTCCTAAAGAAAGAAAATCTTGCTCTCATTTCAAATGGTATTCAATTTCAATGGCCGCCATTCTCTCTCACAATCTCCAAATTTCGTTAACTTTCTATCGTATTTTAGGGTTTTATTTTGTTTTTCATCATTTTTTTATTCGTTTCAGTTATAAATTTATTTTTATATTTGATATTTTATTGTGCGGTGTTGTGGTATTGGAGGTGCGTGGGATGGGGCCTGGGTGTGTTTGCGGCCGATGGATAGGGATTGGAATAGAGTTTAATTTTAGGGATTTTAATAACCTAGTTTTGCCACTGGTCCGGTTGAATCAATGGTTTGTCACTATTCAGCCGGTCCAAATCCAATCTAATCCGATTCAAAGGTTAAAACTGAGCTTGAGGTGTCCTTAGACCGGAAAGGGTGTCGATTCATGGTTGAACCGGTCCAATTCGAGTTTCAGAACATTGGTTGTGGTAACCTCCATTATGGTTTTTGTCATCTAAACAATATATTTCCCTTTAATACGTTACAATAAACACGATTTTCATCATCTAACTAATATAATTTAACACGTTTTTGTCATTAACTAACATAATTTATCCCTAATTTGTTAAATTGAAAGCTACGCACAGTTTTAACTAATTCTTAGAATACAAATACAATAATATTACACTCACAAACCCTTATAACTAACTTTCTCTCACAAACGCGACGTGTCAGCTCGTAATTGGTTAGCTCACAATGGGTCACGCCTGACCAAATGCGAACTAACCAATTGCGAACTGCCATGTCAGCGTTTGTGAGAAGTGTTTGTCAACCTATCTTTATTCATTCGAATAACACACATCATATTGCTTACTAAACTATACAGCTGGACACCAACATGGCCAGTTTATTTGCTCTGCTGCCTTTTGTCCTTGGCACCATTTTATGTCATGATCCAAATTCTTAAAGTACTCTAAGAGATCAAAAACCCACTCGACAAACCTTATATTGTCGGTGTGTTTGACATGCTGCACTAGACTGGACTGATTATTTTATACCGGATTGGAGAGTATTGCATAAGATTGGAGTGTATAAAATTTAATATTCCTGATAATTGTATTGAAAAGAAAAAGACTACAACCTACATAAGAGCATCTCTAGTGATGCTTTTTATTTTAAAGAGTATATTTCACATAAATAAAGAGCATCTTTATTAATTTTTAAATATAAAGAACAAAATTTGTATTCAAATTCAATGGACATCTTTAAATTAGACTTAATAAGAGCATCTCCAATGGTGCTCTTTATTTTAAAGAGCATCTTTCATATAAATAAAGAGCATCTTCATTAATTTTTAAATATAAAGAACACAATTTTTATTCAAATCCAATAGACTCTTTAAATTTAATGAAGATGCTTTTTATTTTTAAGAAAAAGACTTAATGGGAGAGAGAATTAATAAATAAAATGCATAGGAACTTGTAGTTTATTAATTAAAATTAGGATAGAAAGTGAAATTTGACTCTTTAAATGTGGATAGCCAAACCCACTCTCTAATTTATATTTTAAAGATAAAGAATATGTCGGACTCTTGTTTTTATGGATAGACTCTTTATAATAAAGAGTTTGGTCATATAAAGGCTCCTTTGAAGATGCTCTAAATAGGAAAGAGACTTAATAGGAGAGAGAATTAATAATAAAATGCATAGAAACTTGTAATTTATTAAATAAAATTGGGATAGAAAGTGAGATTTGACTCTATAGATGTAGAGAGTCAAACTCACTCTTTAATTTATATTTAAAGAATAAAGAGTTTATTGGACTTTTGGTTTTATAGACAAACTCTTTATAATAAAGAGTTTGGGGTATATAAAGAGTCTTTTGGAGATGCTCTAAGG